TGTAAGTATTTTTGCCTGTGCCTCGTACCCTTCCTTCTTGTTAGGACTCGGATTTTTTAAGCAATTAATACCAGAGACCACCGACTTATGTTGATCTTTGTTTGAAATGATTACTAATTCCCGTCTTCTTGCTGGGAATACTGTATAAAACCATGTAACAAGTTGCTGAGCTAACAACAAATTCTTCTCAGAAGGTACCAGACAAATTTGTACGGAGATATGGAGGTGGAATGCCAAATCCAGTGTTTCTGAAGCCTCCAGATGGAACTCAATGGGAAATACGCTGGACAAAATATAAAAGTGGAGAAGTTTGGTTTGAGAAGGGTTGGGATGATGTTGTTAGATACTACTCTCTAGGTCATGGCCATTTGGTGTTGTTCAAATATGTGGGAACTAGAACTTGTCATTTTGAGGTCAACATTTTTGACAATAGTGCCCTAGAAATGGACTACCCTCTTCATGGAAACCTCCAACAAGTTACTGATAATTCTGACTCGGTTGAAATCTTGTGTCAGAAACCTCCTCTGCAAAAAGTAGCGAGCCGAAAACTGCCATTATCATCTTCTGTTCACCCTTGCAAGAAAATTAGAGCTGAAGAAGCTCAAAGGACCTATAATCAGCAAAAGATGCACTCAGGTGATGGGAATGAGCTCAAGTCCATTAATGCAGAACCGAAACTTATAAAGCTTGAGTTAGAAGGTAGCTCCTGCTTTTTTCTTATATATCATGTCATTATATCGTACTTCAATCTGATATTCTATTCATCTATCAGGCTCTCTACTAAACACAAAATTTGGAGGAACTTTGACGGGCTTTTCTTGATAGGAAGTAGCAACTATACTTCAGTTTTGTTCTTAATCTTGTCCTTCGATTTGTGTTTTTAGTTTCTGCAGAAACTATGGGTGGAAGCAATTTTTCCACTAAAAAAGGTCCAAAATCCATTGCTATCAAAAAACGAAGGGAGAAACCATTGACTTGTGCTGAGAAGGACAGGGCTTTACAAAGAGTCAACACTTTCACGTCTAAAAATCCCTACTTCAAAATTGTCATGCAGCCAGCATACATCAAGAGCTGTTTGGTAAGCTTTTAGAGAAATGCTAATGGGGGGAAAAAAACTTCTGTCGTTAGTAGTTACTAATCTAGTACGAAAAAATTGCAGTGTGTGCCAGCAAAGTTTGTGAAACAGTATTTGAAGAAGAAGAAGGAAGGAACTGTCCTCCTCCGGGTTTCAGATGGTAGAACTTGGCGTGTGGAGTGCAGTGGGGAAGAAAGAAAGCAGTACAAGTTCCGACTCAGAAGTGGGTGGTCCTCTTTTTCAAAAGACAATAACTTGAAAGTGGGTGATGTGTGTGTTTTTGAACTCACAAACACCACCGACATCTCCTTCCTGGTTCATGTTTTTGGAGATTTTGTTAATCCATATGGCTGAAAATTCCAAGGTATAACATTGTTTTCCCCCTTTATGGTCTTAAATCCACTGCCCCGAAATTGGGAGACATGTTTATGTTGAGAGAATATAGTAATACTGATAGATATACTGTGTTAGGAATTCACAAACTATGAGATCCTGTTCTTCTGATTCTGGGTTATAAATATGCAACATGATGCAGATTGTCCCATATTACTTCTCAAGTGGCATGTTAAGAAGGGGGAGGAGTTTATGGCCTGTCAAGTTGCTTTTGTTGTGACCAGGTCACATTTACGAGGTGGAAAGTATCGTGCTTATCTTTATGTTCATTGATAGAGAAATTGCTTTTTGTGTATATCTATGTCACATTCCCAGATGCTGCACATAGGTTATTCACTGTAAGCTGCTGCTTTTTGTGATTCTGTGAAAGAGGCAAAACGCCAAACGTTTGTTTTAATAGTTTAGTCAGAACAAGTATCTCAGCCCAATACTAAACTTGACATTAGGATTCAGTTTGATACTCTAAATTAAAAAAAATCAAAACTTCTCTTCTTACATCAATGAACTTAATGAAAATGCTCACGTGATCTTTTTTTTTGTTTGCCTTGTGCAAACAGGGGAATTGCCAATTGACATAATGCAAATTAAGTTTTTTTTTTTTTTTTTTTGGGTTGCCCGTTTCCTTGGCGAACTGCAACTTTTTGTCTGATGAGTCATTTTGCCAAAATTTATGCCTCAGCTGGGGATGATATTGTCATTCCATTCTAGAAAATTTCTTCTGGTTTGGAAATAATTCTTTTATCAGTATCGCTAAGGATTCTTGAAAATGGGGTTTCGACATTGGTTGGTCGATGAATGAAAAGGTTAAAATATTTTTTTTTAATACTTAAAATCTCCCTTTCAATATCTTTCCATTTTTGACACTAATGATCTACAATGGATATCCATTTATTATTTACTATATATATATATATATATTACCGAATTGAGTTGGTGAAAATCAAGATATTTTCGCAATGACGAGATCCCAACGTCTAGGGAGATGGAACTTGGAAGTGTTTATCTTATTTTTTAAATGATTTACATCATAAAAAATATAATATGCTTTTATAAATAACTGTACTAAGAATTAAAGTTGCATGGTTTATCATTATATTAACTGCATGCAATTTTTGTATAAGTATGTAAAAGTATTTCTATATAATTTAAAAATTAAAATGAATATTCAATATATTTTAATTCTACGGGTATTGCTATCATCTAATATATTTGTTATTTTTTTTAACTTTTTTTTAAAAAAAAAACATAGGCCCCTGATTAAAAGGAGAACCACCTCAAATAGTTTGCTTGTATGGTTCGTTTGGGTAGTTGAAATTTATTTATTTTGAACTATAAATGTTTTTTTGATAAAAAAATAGAAATGTTTTAAATAAATCACACGATATTGATCTATAAATAATACGATTTTTTATATATTTTATGTTATCAGATATTGTGTTTCTAAATTCTAATACACTTGGTTAGGGTTAATGGTAGTATGAAGTGACATTAATTTGGCAAGAGTTTTATTGTTATTTTTTTCGCTAGCCTGGTATGTCTCTAGTTTTAAATTTTATTTTTTTTGACATTGCTATTTGACCGAACCAATTCGAACATTATTGGATTCAACTGAAATAGCTTTTTCAACTGTATATTTTTTTACATTTACACAGGCTAAAACTTGAGGTCTTGTGTTTAAGTAATCATAAACTTTATCATTAGGACTAATCCTTGTTGGCATTTTAAATTTTTAATACAATTATCTAAAAAAAAATAGTGGCTATTGAAGCCTTGAAAAGTGAATAATCAATCATCAATACATATATCGTAAAGCACACTTTTCAAAACATGGGAGATCATTTAATGAACATTTTGTCAAAAAACATAGAGATGTGAGGTGAATGTAAGACCTGTAATTTAATTAATAACATTTGTTTATATAGAATGAAAAATTTTTACTACGTAAATTTTCATTTGTAAACGTCAAAAATTAGATAAGATATAAAAAAGAATAGGATTTTTTTTTATTTTTAAATATCATGTGGGATCCATAGTAAAAATTAGTGGTAAATAATAAAATAATATATATTAGATGTACAATAAAATTACAAATTTTATTGAGACGGAGTAGAGAAAGTAGGTAGGTAATCTGATGAGTTTTACTTCAAAATTTAATTTACTTAAAATAAAAAATTATAAATAAAATAATGCGTTGCTTTTAATTTTATATGTATAAGATATAAATGTAGAATAAAATATAAAACTAAGCGACAAAGTAATTTTATATGTACAGGATAGTAAAATGTAGAATAATATCCTTTAATTTTAATTTTAATTTTAAAAGAATATATCTTTTAAATGTTTTGATTGTAACTAGAATGATTTTTAAATAGCACTTATCCCTTCTTGTGCTATCTATATTGTCATCTTATTTATAGATCATATCACTAAATTTTTATTATAAATTTTTTCTCTTATTCTCTATTGAATGTTGATGAGAGAAAATATGTTGTTAAAGTACGTATATTTAATAATGATAAAATTAAAAATTATATTAAATTTTTAAATAAGGTTAATGATTTTTAAATTTTGTCTTGGTTTCACCAAATATGTTAAACATAATTTATAATAAAACCAAATAAGTACACTTAAGAAGGGACTAAAATGAAATTTTTTACAAAGTTAAAGAATTAAAAAAACACTTTAGCCATTTTTAAAATAGAAATAAGATATATAAAATTAATATAAAATAGAAAATATGGAAATATATTTTCTCCAAATTATTATATCTGTGATAAAATAATATCAATTTTTTTTTAAAATACTAAAACATTCTCTTGCATAACAGGGGCAATAATTTTGTTAGCAGAAGTTAAAAAACATAGACGTGAAAGCCATGGTTAAAAAAAAAAATACATGGAACCTATCATTAAAAAGTGAGTGTGAAACTCATAATTTAATTAATAAATTTTATTCACATAGAGTGACAAATTTTTGGTATATGAATTCTCATTTATAAATATTAAAAATTTCGATAAGGTATAAAACATAGTAATATTCTTATATATTGAAAGTTTAGGAGGATTCACAGTAAAAATTAATAGTAGTTATAAAATTTCAATTAAAAATAGTAGATATTACATATGCAATAGGATTATAATTTTTATCAAAGTAATTTACTGAAAATAAAACAATATAAATAAAACTAATTTAATCAAAATAATGAATTCTAAATGAAATAATTTTTTTGCATTTGATGTAATATGTATAAAATTATAAATTATAATCCTTCCGTTTAAAAATGTAAGATATTTTTTGAGAAATTTTAAATGTTAAAAAATGTAAAACATAATTTATATTTTTTAATTTAAAAATTTAAAAAATAATTTAAAAAAATATAAATGACTAAATTATTAAAATTAAATCTGAGGAACCGAATTTCATCATATTATTTTAATAAATTTTATCATTTGAAGTAATTAATTTGCTGAGTAATTAATTTTTCACTGGAATCAAATCAAATTATTCCTAAAATGAATTATAACCCTGATAAAACCCATTCTCGTGAAGAGCGGATACAGTTCTCTTCGTACGAACCCGCATTCCGCGCTCAACCGTTGTCAGCCCTGCGTGTTTGTTCTCGGGCAAGCAGTGAAGAAGGTTCGAACCTAGGGTTTTTCCTACTCCCAAATTCCGATGAGATTGATTTGATCAATCTGGCTTTGAATTTATATTTGAATTTGTTCCCCACGTTATCTGTTCCCTGCGTGGCTGTACCTGCTTTGCTTTAAATTTTTCATTTTAATTTGCCTTTGAATCTGGTCGTGTAATCGTTGAATATTGAAGCTTTTGAATTTGGGAATATTTCCATATTGAGTTTATTTTGTCTTTGCTTGAATGGTGTGTAATTGACTATTATACTTCTTCCCTCTTCGTTTTGATTACTAGCGACTTATATGATTTGGATTGCGTTTTTTGCAATGTTGGATTGTTGTGTATTGGCATTCTGTTTATTAATCTTTTTTATATTATCATAACAATTTTGGAAAATTCTCAAGGTATCTGTGATGTATGATCTTGTAAATGACTTGGCTCGAGCTGTGTCAAGGTATCTGGAACAACAACTGAATGGGTATTATATCAACTATGCTTATTTCAAAAATTTCAGTGGGGTTGTCGTGTAGTATAGGTCCGCCTATTGGTTGTTTTTTTTCTTTTGGGACCCGAAAAGCGGGATAATTGCATTGAAATAACATGATAAACAATAGAGCTTAGGCCATATGCCAAGGGCAAAGGCATCAGTGCAAAAGATAATAGTAAAAGTAATCAACCAATCCCCTCTCGGTCCTGTTCATATGCATAATGCTGTGAGAAAGTCTGAAAAGAGCTTGAATGAAGGTTAAAAAACCCAGCCCGAAGGTTCTACACCCTTTGTTGAAGACACAGCGAGATAGTCCTCATCTTCTAACCAGAGAAAGATGTAAAAAAGGATAGCACTCAACGCTCTTAATCAGATCAGCTATCATTCCGTGATATAACCAGTTACAATTGACACAACTCTTGAATGACAGTGCTTTATAAAAGTCCTGGCAGTCAATTTCAATTACATTGTGCCTATGGTAATCAGATTGCATTAAGGAAACAGCCTTTTGACAAGCTATAATCTTAGCCATTAGACCAGAATTATCCGTGACTCTTTCACACCAGCCTTTAATGAAGATGCCTGGGTGATTTCTCCATATTATTCCTATACCAGCATTACCGGAGGACTGCAAGTAGGAGCCATCACGGTTGACCTTGATTTCATCTAGAGTGGGAGGTAACCAAACATGTGGCACAGAATCTTTAAAAGCAACAGCAGGTTCATTATCCTGATTAGCACTCCAAAATTCAGCCGCAGTAGCATTTGTAGTAGAGACCATGGAGAAAGGATCAGTAACGGCTCCAGAAAAAATTGAGGCTGACCTCAATTTCCAAAGGTTATAGCATAGATTGGCAACATGCAACTTTCCATAATCATCAAGAGGAGAGTCATGAAGGAACAACTTACAGAACCATCTTTCAAAGGATGTTACACCTGTTTCATCAATCTTCACAGACAAATAGCAACCATACCACACTTACTTGGTCCAATCACACAAGAGAAGCAAGTGCTCGATGGTTTCTGGATGATTCCTGCAAACAGGACAAAGTGCATCAGTAGCACATTTTCTTCTATAGAGTGCTTCTTTGGTGGCAAGTGGTTTGTTTAAAGCTCTCCAAATGAAGTGTTTGATCTTTGGCTGAAGCTTCAGCTGCCATAAAGATTTCCAAAGATCATTAGGAATTGAAAAGGAAGGGCTTGGAGAATTTTTGGTCACTACAGACCTGGATTTTGATACTTTATAACCAAGTTTTGCAGAATAATTCCCATTGTTTGTGGCAACCCAAGCAAGGGCATCTACTAAAGGTTGCCTAGGATTGTGAATACTTGATACTAGCTATAGTTTCAGCTGTACAAGCATTACTAGCAGATCCCAATGGTCATAAGCCTGGGCTACTGTATTCATGAGTCGTTTAACTTTGAACCTTATTCATGTGTTTACCTGGGCAGAATATGAAGATGTCAAAGTCAAATGTTTTCAATTAGGTTTCTGGATGTTTAGGCTACTGTATTTTAATCCCTGATTCAGTCAACAATGCTTTCTACTGCTTAGCTTAACTGTGGGAAGCATTATTCAATTACTGTTTTATGAATTACATGAGCAGATTCATCCTATTACGATTTGGCTGATTAAGGTTCTGGAAATCCATGACAATTTGGAAGGAGTCCTTATACTTCTGCTAATGTAGAATTGGTGTAAAATTATGGTGACTAAAGAATAATTAAACTGAAATGAAATTTTGTGGCTCTTTATTTCTTTTGCTGTGGTTTAATATCAAAAATGCATATCTGTACTTGAGCTTTGATGCCATCCTTAATTCTTGAACAGTTTCATTTCCCAGAAATTCAGCTGACAGCCTTGCCATAATGGCTGCAATCTTCGCTCGGAAATCACTTCTTGCTCTCCGCAGTCGACAGTTGGTAAGATGATAAATAACTGTGTCATAATACAAGAAGAAATGCTTGTCATCATGCACTCACTTTCTTTGTAACCAAGATGAAAATCAGTTTTTTATTTTCTTTAAAAGTAAAACTATAATATTTTATTCAGTTTATGGTTATTAGAGAATTTTCTTTTTCCGAATTACTCTTTTTTCCTTTTCATTCTTCTCAAAATAACTGCAAGCCCACACATAATCACATGGAAGGAACGTTTGTGATGGCAAAAACCATTTGCTTATTTACTTTCATTAATCCCAAGATATAGGCAAAACTCGTACTTCTTCTTTAGGGTTCTATTCCATTTATGTGGCCAGTGTAACTTAATGAATCACTGTTATTGTTGATGCTCCTAAATAATTTTTCTAGATTTACAGGATTAATATATTCATACATTTATATGAGTTGTTGTTGTTGTAGGCTGCTAAATATTTTATCATACATTCATCCTCATTATTCTTCATTTTTAGGCTGTGGCAGGTCAAGGGTTGCGAGGTCCCCAAAGTTATGGCTTGCGATTAAGCGCTTATTCATACTCTACCAAAAAAGGTTTGTCATTATTCTATTCATGCTGTGCAAATGATTTATGCATTCTTATAGCAAGAGAATGAGCAGCGAATAGCTTTACAGAGATTTTTCAGTTTGAGGTCACTGCCTTTAATAGAATTTTTAGTTGTGATTGTTAGTCTATATCTGCTTCTCACATGTAAATTTGCAAAAACTTCTTGATTCATAGACTTGATCTTCTGGTGCAAATATTGCAGATGATGAAGAAAGAGAACAACTTGCAAAGGAAATTTCCAAGGATTGGAGTTCTAGTAATCATTTGAAAGCCTTGAGTTTTCTTTCTTTTTCCTTTTTCTTTTACTGTAGTATAAGTGAATGGTTGCTGATATTTTCAATGGCAGTTTTTGAACGCAGCATCAACACACTATTTCTCACTGAAATGGTTCGGGGTCTAAGTCTGACACTGAAATACTTCTTTGAGAAAAAAGTTACTGTAAGTGTCTTCTGAAGTCATTGTCTGTCTAAGACGTATGTGGGATGTAATTACGATCATATTTCATAATGCAGATAAATTATCCATTCGAGAAGGGCCCATTGAGTCCTCGTTTCCGTGGTGAACATGCACTCCGACGATATCCAACTGGAGAGGAACGTTGCATTGCTTGCAAACTTTGCGAAGCTGTAAGCTTTTTAAAATTTAGGGCAACAATTTTTAGATTGACAATGGTCCTTTGAAGTTCATATCTGATTGAAGTAGCAGCATGACTATTTTCTTCCCTGCTTTTTGCTTAAAACTAGACTACGTGGATAAGATTTCTATGTAGCACATGGTTATTTTGTCGATGTTATAGTGTGTAAACATCAGCTAAAGGCTTCTAATGGAAACTCTAGTCATGATCAAACAAGACCTGAGGTCTGTACTATCCGAAAGGAGAAGAAACTAGGTCTCATATTGTGTCTAGCGTCTTATATATTCAGCTACCCGTCTTGCAATTTTTGCTGTTTGTTATATATTGACGAGTCTGTACATTTTGTCGAAAAGTTCAAGTACTTGTTTTATCGAATAAGTATATTATCCTATAACATAATATTAACTTTGGTTTAATGTGTCTTTCTTTCAAGTCTGTCTTTAGTAAATGGTACTATTGCATCTTTACTCCATTATACTAGTTTGGCAGCTGTATAGTCTTTGTATAACTTAAGAATGTAATTTATCAGATATGTCCGGCACAAGCAATCACAATTGAAGCTGAAGAGAGAGAAGATGGCAGCCGCAGGACAACAAGGTGACCGACCTTCCTTGCCTCCCCACCCACCACCCCCCGCCCCCAACAAAAAAAAAAATTAAAAAAAAAAAAAAAAAAAAACAGAAACAGCTGCGAACACAAAAAAGGCAAGAAAAAAAGAACAACGAAAAGAAAAGGAGAAAGAAAAAGAAACTGTCCCTCCCCTCCCTTTTCTGTCCTGTCTGAATTGCCTAGTTTTTCAGGTACGATATTGACATGACCAAGTGCATCTACTGCGGATTTTGTCAAGAGGCATGCCCTGTTGATGCCATTGTTGAAGGCCAAACTTTGAATTTGCTACGGAAACGCACGAGGTTCATTTTCATCTCTTTCATTCTGATTTTTCAAACTACTATCTGATAGCATACTGAATGGGATTATTTTTTCTTTCCTTTTTTTTTTTTCCTTATTTGTTATATTTTCACGTTCAACTATGTGCAGGAGCTTCTATATGACAAAGAGAAGCTACTTGAGAATGGGGACCGATGGGAAACTGAGATTGCGGAGAACCTGAGATCTGAAAGCCTCTATCGCTGATTGCTCCGTTGTGTTGTTCCTTTAATGCTTGTCCCATGTTAACTGAAAAGTTAACATAGAAATAATGGATCCGGGGATGGTCTGGTAAACTTGTGTATTATTTGTGTTGCTGCAGTAGCTTATTATGGAATTACATCGGCCGTTCCATTGCTAGTTTATGTACAATTGTTGAGACTGACTTCTATGAAATTTTGAACAAATTATAAGATTTCCCTTATGCAGGTGGGAATCAAGGAATTTAATAAAACAATGTAGCCACTGATTGCTTAAGCTCCATTGATCTCTGGAAGCACTGCTGTATGATTTTTCCTTGCAATGATATACCGTTAAATTTGTTTTGAACAGTTCGGAATTGTTCAGAATTATAATGGAGAGATGCAATGAAGAAAAATGAAGTTTGGAAATAGATAGGGATCAAAAGTAATAGTCGAAGCAAGCATATCATGATTGATTAGCTTCATTTATATATTTTTCTGATTTATGCTGTAGTTATTTAAAACTTCAACTAATGAATTTTCAACGTTGAGTTTAAACTTTTCTTTAAAATACTTGCCAATCCGTTACTTCGCAGGTCTAATAAATTTAAATTTTATAGTAAAAACAGATTAATGAGGATTATCAATATGTGGAAAACTAGATTAAAACAAACTTAAACTTCATTCTTAAATTCGGTTAAACCTGGAAGATATTCGTGATTGAGTAAATTTAATTGATAGCATCATAATGGCCAAAAGGGGGGAGGGAAAAAACACAGATGGCTTCAGATAAAGATAAATTCATTTGATTAAAATGTCTCATGGTTGTGATGAATTATATATCAACATCAAAATGAATTAATAAATATGATATTTATATAAGACAATCAATGTTTTTAATGCTTCAAGTTCAAATAATTTTTTAAATCTTTCCATTAAAAAAATAAACCTTCATAATCATTTTCTTTCTTTTCTTCGTCCACATAATCACAGTTATCCTAATCGACATCTTTGACATGACATTGTGCATGTCACCATCATTGTCCTAGTCATCATCCCTTCAACACCTATGTCATTCTCCAAGTTAGCCTCATTATCATTGTCAGTCACCTTATTCATCACCATGTCATCATTTTCTAGTCATCATTCCAACCAGTTTCCATATAGTCCACCATGTCATCATCTGCATAACTTGCTATGTCATCTTTGATTTCAACTATTTGCCCGAGTCATCATCTATTTTGCATCCATGTTACATGACATATCATCAAAACTGTCCTAGTCATCATTCCAGTCACCAGCAATGTCATTATCCATATCAACATTTTCCTCATCATTATCTCCTTCACAACCATGTCGTCTTCCTTCCCAGCCTTGTTCATCATCCTTGCCAGCCTTCATGTGCTGACAAATTTTGCCTCCTCACTCTTTTTTATATTTTTGGGGTAGTATTTTGCATCCTCATTTTGATGTGTGTGTATGTAAAGAGTCTGATTTTGGTGCTCATTATATGACAAGCAATCTAGACTATCTATATGTGAAGATTTTATTTTATATTTATTATAAAAAATTATAAGATTTCGATAAATCAATCTTATCATTAATTTAGATGATCAAGTTTAATATTAATTTTTATATTTTTTTATAAATTAACTATCCAATATATTTTAGACCATTTGATCTCTGGATTTAATAATAAACTTTTGTAGAATTTTTTAAAATTTTTATTTTACTAAATTTTTTTATATTTTTGGGGGTAGTATTTTGCATCCTCATTTTGATGTGTGTGTATGTAAAGAGTCTGATTTTGGTGCTCATTATATGACAAGCAATCTAGACTATCTATATGTGAAGATTTTATTTTATATTTATTAGAAAAAATTATAAGAATTTAAAAATCAATCTTATCATTAATTTAGATGATCAAGTTTAATATTAATTTTTATATTTTTTTATAAATTAACTATCCAGATATATTTTAGACCATTTGATCTCTGGATTTAATAATAAACTTTTGTAGAATTTTTTTAAAATTTTTATTTTACTAAATTTAATATTAAAAAATAAAAATAAAGATAATCTTTAAGCTGGTACTTAAAAAATTAAGAAAAAGTTACAATTTTAAAAATTTTTAAATTCAAAACTGTTCACATTATATTTAAATAGTCAATGTATAAAAATTATAAAAAAAATAATGTTAAAGTGAGCTATCCAAATTAAATCTGTATTTTTTAAATTGATAATAAGATAACTTTATTAAAATTTTATAATTTTTTATAATAAATATAAAATAAAAAAATTTCAAGAATAAAATCTTAAAATCTAGATTATCTAGATTTTTTCAAATTGCTCATAGCTTTGAAACCAAAAACGTGGGTAAAGAGGAGACTTGGCTTTGCTCTTTGATACTTTTCTTAGAGAAGGCTCCGCTGCACCCAAAACTCAACTAAGATTTGAATCGTCTGGATTTTATTGGATAATTAAATTAATATTTTATTTTGTATTTTTATTAAAATAAAATTTTTTAAAAATTATCAAAAATTTTAATAAATTTGCTCATCAATTTGAACAGTCTAGACTTATATTAATGGTCCAAATTTAATATTTAAATTTTTATAAATTAATTATCTAAATAGATATACTCTAAACAATGTAGATTTAATATAAATAGTTCATATTTAATATTAATTTTTTTTATAAATTGACTACCCAAATATCTATAAAAAAAATGAAATATATGTTAAAAAAAATTTTTGAAAAAATAATTTAAAAATTACAAATTAAATATTTATATCAAACTCTACATTTAAACAATCAATTCAAAAAATTATAAAAAATTAAATATTAAATTTAGATCATTAATATTAAATTTAGACTATCAAAATTGATAACAAAATTTATTAAATTTTTTAACAATTTTTATAATTTTTATTTTTAATAAAATTAAAAAAATAAAATATTAAATTTAAACAATTCAATTTTTTTTTGGTTAATAAAACAATTCAAATTTTGGTTGAGATAGAGCGGAGCCTCCTCCGAAAAAGTGTCGGGGGAGCAAAGCCAAGTCCGTAGAGAGGCCCAATTTGTTGAGGCCCAATTTATTGTTTTCTTGCTGTTTCGGCTATCTGCCTCTCCGTTGCAGGTTTCTACGGTGCTGCATTTAAGAGACGCAATCCAATTCCCAGTCTATTTTTAGATCAAACATCACAACTTCCCCTGTGCTTTCTTCCCCCTCCAAATTCCAAATTTGGGGTAATGTTATGGTTCCTGTTATTCTGTTTTATGTCTGATTTTTGATTGTATTAGTTCCCCATAGTTTCGACGTTATGCGCCATTTGTCACGGGGTTGTTGTCTAGAGAGCAGAGGACACCCGACTTAATTTCAAAGTTTATTTATTTTTTTTAAAGCCTGGTCAGTTCTTTTGTGGGTGTTGCCTCTCCTTGATTTTAGCAGCGGAAATAACGCATTAGTGGACTGTAAAAGTGGCGTGTTCTTGATTCCTATCTCTTCCTTCCAAATAACTGAATGATTCGTGTTGTTAGCAGATCACTTTTGTCGCATTCTTGTAGTAGTTATGGGCATCAGGTTTCCTCTCAGTTTGGATTTCATTGGTTCGGGTTTAGAAATTTCGTGAAGATTACTTATTAGCATAAATAAGTTCATTTAACTATTTTCCTTTCTGTATAAGTTCGAGACCTTTTTGTTGCCCTTCGGTACTGTTTATCTGTTAGCTTCTGCTAAGCCACATTCATATAACTGGTTTGTCAATTTTTGTTGGCTATCCTTGTTACTTGAACCGCGTGGTCATTTCCTCTTTCAGGGAGCTTGGACACTAGATCAACTGCTGTGAAATTTTCTCTATATAATGGTCTTTCGTTTCAGAGAAGTGATTTACCTCATTGCATATTTTGGATCATTGTATTCCATAACTTTTTATATCAATTGCTTCCATATTATATCAGGCATTCTTTCCTTGTAAAACTCTACTCAACAAGTACTATTATCTGTTTTAACATTTCCAGTTAGTCTCATTCATTGCTTGTAAACTTGTATTTCCACAGTTTTTCGAGGGATATGGTTATCATGGAACGTCTTTTGAGCAGACTTATCGATGTTACCCTGCATCTTTCATCGAAAAGGTTAGTGTTACTCCATTTTGTAATCTTGGTATTCAATCAGTTGTTATTTCTTGAGTTCTTGACTTCAATTCTGGCAGTTGTCAAATGTGTGCTGAGTATATTGCTTCTGATGAGCTTAAATCTGACTTCACTTTGATTGGTGGTGGGCTTGAATAGAAAATACTTCACAACTTGGAGCATTTACCTTTTGGGTAGATGTCAAAGGTTTAGTGTTCTTGGGAACATAAGTTTAGATTTAATACAGAGAAATAAAGTGGTAGGTGCAATCATCATGCAAGCCCAAAGACATCTCGATATAAAACTCAAAACCATTCCCTCTCATTCGTGCATAGCACTAAACAATGTGGTCAGAAGCAAAGACTTGGAAGTGAATTTAAAAAGTGGAAGGTTGAAAAACAATAGATGATATTTGAACAAGGAAAAAAGAAAAGAAAAGACTGACAATATTAACTTGTGATGTAATTATTAATATATAATATCTAATAAGTTGCAGTTTTCGTAAAACCTAGTATTACTTGAATAAAGTAGAGGCTAATTACTTTCATTTTATCTTCATTAATCCTGCAGCCCCAGATTGAGAGTGGTGATAAAAGTAAGTTTCTATGTTAATGGAAGTTCTAGTTTTTGGATTATCTTATGTTTTCCTTCCTGCTAAGGTCAATTTATTTCTTTTTGTGCACCAGTATCATGCCTCCTTCAGCCCTTGTTTGTGAGTATGCTTGTTATTGCTACTTGCTAGTATGGTTCTCTGAGGTTCTATTTTATTGTACACTCTATTTCTTAATTCTTTGATATAGATGATGGAGAACATGCTTTTACAAGGGAGACATTGTTAGAGTGAAGAATGTGACACTACCAAAGGGACATATGTTAAGTTACAACCCCACACAAAGGATTTCTTGGATATATTTCCAATCCAAAAGCTATGTGAGTTGCTATTATTCGTTATCAGATTAGCCGTATGTGTTCCATTCATTATTATTTTTGAAAGACATATCCATGCTGTTTGAAGTAGTTCAAACACAACTTTCTATGCATGTGACTGAGTTCACTTTTCAAGGTCATCATCCATCACATACCTTTGGTTTTCATTTTTCTTAAATTGCGTTTATTGGCTTGAGGTGGATTTTAAGATTTGAGAACTGAATTGTACCT